GCAAACGCTCACACCTGAGATCGTACTCCAGGATGAACTCTTCTTCCCTCTTTATTTCAGTACAGCAAAATTCAAGACCGCCAGCTGAAGCGAAAATCTCACTCTGGGAACAGAAAGCGCTACACTCGGCCCGGTTGCCAGGCTACATGCAGCACATGGCTGGAAGGAGCCAAGAATTCATGCTTCCGCTGCTTGTCAAGGAAGTCTCATGTGACACCACAGCGCACTAGGAGACATACACACATCTTCACCCTGACTCCCTCATGTACAGTCATCTCCAGTTCGGACAAGGCATGAATGCAGGAGACAGCTTCAGCCTAGTGTCGCATGTGCAGCGTAATTAACAACTTTTTTTATAAGCAGGCTGCGATGACACTTCATCTGTGAGGGTAATTTTTTTTCTTTTTTTAAAAAAAGTCTTGTGATAATTGGTTTTAACACAATCAGAGTTTCTTGTGTGATCGATTCACACCTGAAATCGCCGTGGTGTTCCTTTTCGTTCTGTGCCTTGGAACTGCAGCTGGTGCCGCGTGAAAGCAAGAACCCACTCATTTGTGTCACTGCACATGACACGAGACGAAGCAGAGTCAGATCGGGGGGTAGTGCAGTTACCTTTTCTGTGTGCTAGCTGTTACCTCGGTGCATTTTGTAATGCTCTAAATGTTTAAATGTGCTTCCACAAGGGAGCTCTGAGTATGCATGATTGGCCAAGCCACAAACAACTGCAGCCTGCACTGCTCCCGGGGGGGTGGAGGTCAGACCCTTCACATAACTTCACACATAAGACAAGTTTCATCCGGTTCAGCATTATGATAAAAGCTACAACACTTAGAAAAAAATAATTATGGAAACACCACACTTGGTGGATGTTCATTCAACTTTTACAGCAAATGAACAAATCACCAGTACAGTGCTGTGCAAAAGTCTCGAGTCTTTATATTTTGCTGAGAAAATGAGAAATAGGTGCAAATTTAAATAGAAATTCAATGTATGAGGCAAAAAAAGACTTTGTACAATTCTAATTAGCTTGAAATTCAATATGACCACCTTTGTTGTTTAACTGTAGACACTCAGTGCTGTACCTTCCTCCTGACATCTTCCACACATGTTGATGATGATTTGAACCAGAGATTCTACATTTGGATTCATCACTCCATGAGACCTGTTGCTTCTGATTTTCAGTCTAGTTATTGTGTAATTTGGTGATGCATCCTTTTCCCCGTTACCTTTCCTTGAGAATGATCTTCCGACAGCCACCCACTCCACTGAGGGTATTTCTGATGAGGCCTCAGTGAAACATAGATGGATCAACCAAAGCACCAGACACAGGTCTCAGGTCTGTGTCAAGTCTTTGCCGGGTTTCTATTTCCTAAGGAAGTGACTTTCAGATCCTCTCCACATGCTATTGATTTTGAAAGCTGCCACTTCTTCCGTCCCCGACTTGTCTAGGTTTCTCAGTTTTTCAAGGACACACTTCACACTGTCAACAAGTTTTCAGCTTGTTGGTGCAAAATAGCTACTTTATGCCTGTCAAACATATCTTTGACATTTTTCATAGATTAGAAGTACAAGTCTGGATCATAGGACGTAAAATACAAATATATAAGGAGCGGTTCCAGACATTTGTTCAGTACCATATGACACAAAAATACTTGTACTAAATATTCAGGCTTTCAGGTACATGCACCCAGCAAACTCAGTTAAATTATTTTGATTCGTCATAGATATGGTTGGAATAAAATCAAGAACAAGATCATCCCTAGTAATGAAAAATTTAATTGTACGTTTGGGTTTTTTAGCTTAGTTTTCTGACCTGACACTTTCCCATCTACCTGTATGTGTTACTTTTATAACCTTCATTATAAAAGATTGGGACCTGATCCAAATTTTAGACAGCTGAGAACACCCAGCATCTTCTGTCAGTCTTTGGATTCCCTACTTGAATAGGTCGTCTGATCATCCTATCATTTAACCTGTCAGCGCTCCTGTTTGGAACATGTTTCCTTTCAGTCACCCAGTTACAGCAGCTCATTAAGGTATGCACACTGTTTTAAAATGTATTTGCATATTTTGATTTGTGCAGATATTTGTATTAGAAATGCAAATTACAAGGTGATTCCTTGATCCCTACCACCAGTGGATTCAACAACAATAAACTTAGCTGTATGCAACATCACATTTACTGCAATGTTGCAAAAGCCAGATGCACATCTTCAAAGTGCAGTGATTGCATTCCCCTCCTCCCAAAATGGGCTGCAAAAAACAGCAAACAAATTTCACACGGGAGGCAGCACAGAGGTCCACAATAGAGCTTTATTTTGTCATTCATCAAAATAACAAACTTAGTATCTCTGCAAGCTACTGTAACAAACTCATCAGAAATAAAACAGAAAATAAGAGTCCCACACAGGTACACCTATTTACACCATGGTTTCTGATACATGTTCAGTCACCCACATCTTATGATTGGGGGCAAATGCCACGCAAGACATGAGGCAGTCAGGTCCTACATGGTGCTGTGCTGGCTCTAACACACGGCCTATGCAGTCAGATGGGCGAGCTGGACAGTACAAGGCTAATCTAATTTCGAGTACCATTGTGTGTACTTCAAAATAGAAGCCTTTGATCCCACTCAGTGCTTTTATTTTAATGACAATGCACATCTGACGTGAGCTTTTCTGAACATTAAGAGGCATTGGCTGATGCTCCTCAGTGCTGTGGGGAGGGGGGTTAACAGGGGGACTTAATTGGTAAACATCTCATGTATTCCAAGCAACAAGAAGAGAAAAAGAAAAAACCAAACCTATCAAAACTGGAGCATCCTGTCTTCAATACAAAATGGGAATTATTACAGGGTATACAAACTCAACAATCCATAACCGAAAACAAGACAATTTTCAAATATGGGTAGATTGTAAATTTTATTGGAAAAAAAAAAAAATATACAACTTGGAATGGATTATTTGACCTGTGGTCATTTAAAAAAAAAAAAAAAAAAAGAAAAAAAAAAAGTAGTGAGTAAAACATTAAAAAGCATGGTAAAATTTGTCATTTTTCTGGTATATAGAACAGCAGATACAAAAAGAGTTTGTACGAGTACCTAGGAGATACACCCGTGTCATTTTTTTGCAGTAGTGCAATGCTGAGATTTCCATATATACTTTGTCCGTAGTCCATGCAGAGTTTCAACTTCTCTACATCGTTTCCATGCCAACAGTGTTGCCAAGTGACAACCAGCTGACAGGTTTCCAATGTCACCATGCGTGGAGGGGGCCCCGAGCACATAACAGGAAAATTCCAAGTTCTCCAGCTTCCAGGGGCCTCCACGGCATCTGGTTGTATGACCGTTCTGTCACTCCAAAACACCATGACAGCAAAAGAAAGGGACATGGGGACAAGAGCCTATGCAGTTTACATGCAGTTCCTTTGGACAGCAGAAGGGGCAGGGATGAATAGGGGCTATTAAGATTTTACAGATAAATTACACAAAGAAAAAAGGCAAATTATTTATATACGAAATCTGTACAAGGCCTTCACTTCGCCGTCATCATTTGTACGAACTCTGCAGGGTTGAAGAGGGGGAAAAAAAAAATTATAAAATTTTACATTTAAAATGTCAGCCCAAAATTATTACAAAAAAAAAAAAAAAAAAAAAAAAAAAACAACAGAAACAACAACCCCCCCACTAATAGAGAACTATATACCAACCTTCATAGTTGACCTGTCCATCCCCATCAATGTCTGCTTCTCTGATCATTTCATCCACCTCTTCATCAGTCAACTTCTCACCAAGGTTTGTCATCACATGGCGCAGCTCAGCAGCACTGATGTAGCCATTCCCATCCTGAGAAATCAGGTCAGTCAGTGAGCTCCCCTTCTTACAAACTACAGTGCATATGTACACTAGAGCGGCTGGATGCATTTACCTTGTCAAAGACACGGAATGCTTCTCTGATCTCCTCCTCGCTGTCTGTGTCCTTCATCTTCCTGGCCATCATGGTAAGAAATTCTGGGAAGTCTATCGTTCCATTTCCTGAAGAAAAAAAGTTTTTAAGAAGCAGCACATTTGAGCTACTGACATCTAGCACAGTGACTGTAAACAGCTGGAAGCCTTTGAGGTTTGATCGAGTTCTCACCATCAGCATCCACTTCATTGATCATGTCCTGCAGTTCTGCCTCTGTGGGATTCTGGCCCAGAGAGCGCATGACTGTGCCCAGCTCTTTGGTTGTGATGGTGCCATCTCCATCCTTGTCAAAGAGTGAGAAGGCCTCCTTGAATTCTAGTTGCAACAAAGAGAGTTGGCTTTTTAGTGAGGGGAAAAAACAAAACAAAAACCACACCTGTAAAGCAATTGGCAACAACTGGCAAGACACCACAACATCACGTCACAAAGCCCACTTTTAAGACCAAGCTCATAATTGTATCATTAAATGTCTATATAAATCAACTCCGAGATACTGATGAGACCCTATTGAGTTCCAACTACAAGTTTCTGGCTAAACAAGAGCACCGACCGCGAGGCGGAGCAGCAGAGGCCAAAG